CCCCCCCCCCCCCCCCCCCCCGCCCGCCAGAAGTGGCGGCTGGCTTGAGCAAGGCTTGTGCTCGTCACAGAGTTTCCCGAACCACTGGAACTTTGTTGTCTTGTGTACCCTGTCGCAGGTCGCAGGTCTCAGGACCTCATCGTCTGTCCGGTCTGTCCAACCAGTCCCATCTCGCTCGTCGCTTCTGGCGCCAGATCCTTCAACAGGCCCGCAGCGTGCGTGCTGCAAGCCACTGAATCAGTGACCAGCAGCAGCGCCAGACGGCGAAGGGCGTTATTAGACAAAGGAGCACGGCGGGCGGACAAGGCTGCCGCAATTGGCAGACGGTGGCCGACGGCGGACGCAGGTCCCAGGGGGCCAGTCTGCGAAAGTTCGGTACTTGCAGTGTTTCTTGGCTGCATGAGGGGGAGGGTTGCCCTCGAAGGAATCCTGGACCTGCAGGGCGAATAATAGGCAGGATTCTGAGGCGACGGGCAAGCACACAAAGAAGGCGAGGGCGAGACGGAGACGAAGCAGCAGCCCTGTCTGGTGACGCCCATGATCAACCAGCTCCTCTCTCTCTCTCGGCTGTGACTGATGCAGGGCGAGCCCAACATCTCGGAACAATTGAGCCCTGGGCGACGCCAGGATCGGATTCAGGCAGAAGCCAAAGAACCAGCCGCCTGGAAGATCAGCGCCTCACAGAACTAACAGAAGCCCAGAGAGCCAGGAGGGAGGGCAACGAAACCGTATCACCACATCTCGCAGTCGCCACAGTTCTGAGGGCGCAAAGCACATAAGCGCAAAGCACATAAAGGCAAAACATCGAACATCCCCGACAAAGGTCAAATCTCCTAGCAAGCCTCACTCGACCCAAACTATCACACGGCACCGCCATCAACCATCGACCGCAATAACACTTCAACGAAACGGACCCTTGCCGGCTGGGCCCACGCGACTCCATTCTCCCACCGATTACACCACCCCCCGCTCCCTCTTCTTCAAACCCCCCCCCCTCTCCCCGAGCCCAGTCCAACCTTTGGACCAAACCACATCCCTGTAGCGCGCCCCAGCAGCCTGGACATTGGCCTGGCGTCATTGGAACCGGCTCCCGTTCCTTGCCTTCCCCTTCCAATCCCCCCCTCCACTCGGCCGGTGGAGGCGCCTGCAGTGCGGTGCCAGTGCTAAATTAACTGCGGCACCACATACTGAGAGGAGAGGAGAAGAAGAAGAAGAAGAAGAAGAAGAGAAAAAAACCAGCCCCTTGTCGGGTGTGCGCCCTCCCCCTCCCTCTACCCCAAATTAAGGGCTCCATCGAACACCTCATCGACCCGCGGGCCTGGTGGGACCTTTGGCCGCACTGACGCTGCACCAGGCGTGCCCTGCTGCTGCATCCGCTTCTCAAGGCAAGGCAAGGCAAGGCTTCGAGGAGCCTGTCCTTGGGCTGGCCTTTAATAAAGATGGAGTATGGCGGGTACATGTATGCCGGCGCTGCCCCTTTCCCTCCCATCTACCAACGGACGGCCCAGGAGAAGAAGAAGGCCGCTGCCATCATCGCCGCTGCTGCTGCTGCTGCTGCTGCCGACGGCGACGATCAACAGAACGGGGACCAGACCAGAGACCGAAACCGAGACAAGAAGCCTAGCAAGGCACCGCTCTTCCTGCGTCGAGCGCATTCGGCGGGTAGGAAGGAGAAGGACCGGAAGCCCAGCCGCTTTCGACACACCCACACCCGGACGCACAGTGGCAGTTCCGGATCTGTCAGTTCCTCACACGAGGCAGGCCTCAGCACAACCACGACTGCGCTGTCGCTGGTGACCTCATCATCATCTTCCTCTCCGTCTCTCGACAAGCACAAGCACAACGACGACAACGACAACGACCACGACGCTGACGACGACAGCCAAGACACTGGTTCTCGCACTCCCAGGGCGCCCACCTCACCAGGTGCCAAGAGCGCGGCCCGCCATCCTCGGTACCATTTTGGGTTGCCAAAAGATTTCGACAGCGTCGACCTAAAGGCCGCCATCCCCCCACTTCCTCAACATCGCGACCACGGCAGTGAACAGGACGCATTCCGCGGGCGAAGCGGCACGCGCCGGACGACCCTTGACCGGCTTCAGGTCCCACGAAGTCGCAACCTCTTCTCGTCACAACAAACCCCCTCGTCTGCCACCTCGCCGCATCATGCCAGCATGCTCACGGATGGCGACCCTACGACACCCCACGCCTCGTCCTTTTCCCAAACCAAGTCGCCCTCGTCCTTCTCCATCATCCCTATTATGGACCACACGACAGCCGCTGCCGCATTCCACGCCCACAACGCCCAGACACGCACCATGAATTCCTCCGCCATGACCCTCGCCGGCATGAACACGTCGAACCCCTCCCTCGACGGCACCAACACCACCGACACGCCGTCCGTCCGCGGGAGCACCAGCGCCGCTTCTGCTTCTGCTTCGGCGCAGAACCTCACCCGGCCCGCCTTCGCCCTGCGCAACTCCCGCACCTACCTTGCCGACACCACCCTGCCGTATCCCTTGCCCGTCGACCTCGCCGAACTGCACCGCCAGTCCCTACGCACTCTCCTCTTGACCCAAGTCTTTGGCGGCCCCGTATGCTCTCCAATCTTTGCCGACAAGCCACCCACGCGTGTGCTGGAGATTGCCTGTGGGCCCGCCTTCTGGTCGACCATGTGTCACCGTTGGTTTGCCGCCCGCGGCCACACCAACATTTCTTTTACCGGCATTGACGTCGCGCCGATCGCACCGACGGAGCGTCTGGATCGAGACATGCGATGGCGTTTCGTCCAGCACGACCTCCGCAGCTTGCCCTGGCCTCTGCCCGACGGCCACTTTGACCTCGTCATGGTCAAGGACACGTCCCTCGCCATCCCCTCACAATTACAACAGCCCGCCATGGACGAATACCTCCGCCTCCTGCGCCCCGGCGGCGTCCTCGAGATTTGGGAGTCCGACCACCAAGTCCGCATGCTCCGGCCGCACGCGCCAGTGCAGCACGCCGAAGCCGCCGAGGAGCCGTCATCGTCAGAAGAAGAAGAATCGACCGAAGAAGAGGAGGAGTCCTCCTCGTCCTCCGTCGCCGAAGATGGCGCCGCCTCCTCAACCTCGCCCTCGACGCCGCTCGCCGCCTCCCTCGGCGCCTACCTCATGACCGCCAACACACCGCTCTCATCGCCGATGAACCCGTACCTTGTCGAATACAACACGTGGCTGCACCGGGCGCTCGGCCCACGCGGCCTATCGCCGGTGCCGTGCACGCTCGTGGGGCCGTCGCTGCTGCAAGAGTCGGACGACCTCACCGATGTGCGCAGCCGGCGGCTGGCGATCCCGCTGGCCGAGGTGCGCTGGGAGCGCGAAGGGGTCGGCGGTGTCGTGACCAAGGACGGCAAGAGCTACGTGCGGCGGCGTGAGGGCGGCGGGCGGGCCAAGCGGCTGAGCGAGGGGCAGGCGGCGGTGCGGCGGACGGCCATGCTGACGGTCGTGCAGTTTGTGCAGAGCCTCGAGCCCATGCTGCGCGAGACGAGCGGCAAGAGCCGGGACGAGTGGGACCTGTGGATGGGCCGCATGGTCGGCGACCTCATGGGCGGCGATGGCGCCGGGTGCGGCGAGTGTCTGGAGGTTGGGGCGTGGTGGGCGAGGAAGAAGTAATGACGGCAGACGGGCTGCTGCTGTTGATGGACCATGCCGCGATGCGAGACACGGGGCACGATGCGAGACACGGGGCACGATGCGTCGTCGGCACAGGGGGTGCACAGGATCAGGACATTGGCTTTGGAGAGATATTGCAGATACCCCTACGTTCCGGTTCTGGTTTTGTCGAGGGAGAGAGTGGGAGAAAAAAGAGTTTCTTTTCGACAAGTCGGACAAGAATGGCATTGAATACATGTTTTCTCTTGATTTCGGTTTGTTTTTTTTTGGTTCATGACATTTTGCAGGAGGGTCATTTTGCATTCAGATTGGGGCAGCATGATGACTTTTGTTTCGGGTTCTACATGTCTCTATTTCGCGTATTTGTTGCTGCCTTTCTGTCTCTCGGGCCTCACGCGTCTGGCACGTAGCGCTTCCGCAGCGTGCGGTAGCGTTTGAGGTAGTAGCTGGGCCGGTCAGCTTGAGGCTGTATGCGGGTCTGAGGAGGGGTTGCGTATTCAGATTGGTGTGATGGGAATAGACTCTGCTTCTTGGCTTGCCTCGCGTATGTCTTGTGCTTGTGTGTTGTGCTTGTGTGTTGTGCTTGGGCGGTGTTTGGCTCTGGTGGTTGCACGGGTCGAGTATCACGTCATTGCCGTCTCGAACCGGCAAGATGAGAGGTATGCGTATGGCACTCTGAGTGGAAGCTGGCACTACCAGTGGTCCATACCTTCATGAACTGAGATGAGTGGCCAAGGCGAAGACGAAGACCAGTCTTCCGCAACCTCACTCGAAGCCGCACGCTTGAATACATCGGAAGACTTGACTGGCCGTTAAAGAAGAGGATGAATGGAAGATGCAGACATGCGTTAACGAAAGACAATGGCAAACTCACAGCGCTTCAATCTCTGTTGAGAAAACAAGTCAGCAACCGTCATATCCGCAACAGTCCAACAGAACAAGCAACAGTAACAGAACAGGCAACAGTGACAGAACAACGAGAACACTGACCCTTCTTCACAAACTCGGCCCTCTCAAGTCCCCTGCGAATCGCCGCCTCATCGCGCAGCCCTGCGTTGGCGGCAAAGGCCTTGTGCAGGCGCGGGCGGAAGTAGGCGAAGCCGAGGGGGTATTCGCGGCCCATGAACAGGAGCTCTGCCTCGTCAGCGACTTGTTCGAGCAAAACGTACACAGCAGGCAGAAATGAAGAGGGCGCTGCGTTGCCACCTCGACGAGAGACACAGCCGGGGAAAGCAGGGAATGGCACCTTTGTACATGGCGATGACCTGGCGTCTCAGCTCGGGGTTGACGCTCATGTTGTCGCGTGGTGGGTGTGAGAGGCTCGCGCTGCGGCTACATTGAGATGAGAGCGTGGAGCGGGACTCTGCTGTGCTGTCTTCTGCAATGTCTTCTTATGGTGTTGATGCCTATGATGCAACACCTCGCAATGAGCTGCTGCCATGCTGTTGCCGATCAGGCAAGGTTCTGTTCTGTGACCCAGGAGTACTTTCATCCCAAATGTGGAGTCCTCATTTGATGCATTTGTTCTGTCGTTATCGCCCCGGTAAGACTCCTTACCGATGCTGGATCTGACCAATTACCTTCGTTTGGACTTCTGGAAGTCTCCTTTTGTACCTTAACAACAATCAATCCACTTTGTTCAATTCCGTGGTGACAGTTATGAGCCCGGGCGACGATACAGCTCCTTGACCTTCGATATCTACAGCAGGGCGCCTACGGCCAATGTTGGAGAGACCTGGTTTTCCCTCCAATACAGCAAGCCTCTTCTTCTCCCAACTTGTTGGACTTCTACACGTGACCTCTCATTTCTGGCGACAGCAGCAGGGTGATCTCTGCCGGGATCTTCAGTCGCCTCAGGCAAGGAATGCGAAAGTCGTGAGTTCCCCAGGCTGGACATCTGCGGCTCGGTCATCCCTTTAGTGCCAAAATTCGACCTCAGTGCTTCGTATGATGGACATTCGAGTAGCAGAAAACACATGTCACCAATTGAATCAAAGGACATGGCGAACTATAGATCTAGATGCGTGTGCGTTATCTATGTTTCATAGACGTACCCGCCCTCAATCATGTACTGACCTAGTACCTGCGTACATGCAGATCAAAGCTCTTTAGGTAGGCAGTGATCATTCTATATACTGAGGCCGAATTTGGGCACTAAAGGACTATCCAGAAGGAGGACCATCCAGAAGGAGGACCAGGGACAGGCCTTCAAATCCCACTCTCGATGTTGGCATCTTCGATGAGTGGCTGCAGGGCACCGGCGTTGTCGATCAGGTGTTGGTTATGCTACATCAAGGAGAATGAAGTCCGAATACAGGCATAGTTTATGGACACCCTTTTGACGAACGACAGACTTCTGGGTACCAACAGTCGGTGGTGCGGGAGCCTCACTCGTGATCCAAAATTCGCCTTTTCAGTCCGGAAAGCGGTCCCCTTGCAACTATCGCCCAAGTCGGGTGCGGTCTGAGGTGCGGTCTGGCCATGTTTGCCCCCAATAGAATGATCGTCCAGACTTGCCATCCAGCCCTGCTGTGGTCACCGAAGACAGTTATTATAGGTGGATAAGTGTTGCTGTATCTGGCTTAATTGGTCGCCAACTTGCCCCCAGGCCTACGTTTATAGCTTCTGCAAACCAACTCCATCAGAGGAGTCCCTTCTTTCACACAGGAGCTTCGTCTATCCAGGCCAGGACTAAGTTCAGGGCCTCAGATGCTGTAGTCCCCAGCGCCGGGTACACCCACACATGCCTGCTGAAATTTTCAACAAGAACCAGCAGATGTCGGTTTCCCCTCATTGTCGTGGTGAAGGGCCCTAAATGATCGATTCCCATGAGCTGGAAGGGTTCCGCAACCTGGGACTTGATCGGAGGTGCTTTTGGTTTATTGGGCCCATGACTGGCGCACTGCCTGCATCCTTAGACATGTGAGACGGCATCTCGGGCCATGCCTGGCTAGAACACCGAAGCTGCCAGGCGCCTCCTCGTAGCGTTCGGTCCCCAATGGCCTGCCTTGTCATGTGCCTCGCGGAGGGCATCAGCAACTTCACGCTCGACAAGACATCTCTGCCATAGACCCTTCCCGGCGTGATGAGATAGGTGCTTGCCCACAAGCTTGAAGTGCCGGGCCTGAGCGATCAATGTTCACTAAGGCCCAGAGGAACTATGGGACATACAAAAAGCGTATGGTATTAAGGTGGATAAGAGTTGTTGTATCTGGCTTAGTTTGTCACTTAACGTGCCCCTAGGGCTACGTTTTATAGTCCTTGCTAACTAACTGAATCAGAGTAGTCCCTTCCTCTACATACAAGCGTGAGCTACATGTCCCGGGCTTATCTTATCGCAGCTGTCTCCACCACAGCTCTCGAGCCCATCCCGATGCGAGCAAACCACCAAGCCCTTGATCACGACATTGAGCTCTCGATCCGCGACAGCAGCCACGACACACATCACCTCGAGCCTCCTCCGAATCCCAACACCCCCGCAGACACCCCTTGGACACCCCAGACAACCCCCATGTCCAGCCGCCTGCCGACCTTCAACGGCCGCGCCTCGCTCGAGCGCATCGGCCGCTGCCTCGCCTTCGGCTGCACCCCCGACCAGACCGCCCTCGCCGCAAGCCTAGTCTCCCGCATCGCCAAGCGCGCCGCCCCCGTCTACGCCGTCCTCCAAGGCTACCCCGCGCGACCGGGCTTCACGATCCCCCACCTCCGCGTGCCCGCCAACGCCACCTGGCAGCCCTCCGCGACGAGCGCCGGCCTCGACGCGACGTCATGGCAGAGGGTGAGCACAATCTGTCCTCCGGCCTCTGCGTCGCGCATGTCCTCTGTCCGTTCCTGACTGACCGGCTACGCAGAAAGCAGACAGCAACGCGACGTACCTCGCCATAGCGAACGAGGCGCTGTACCAGACGCTGGCGCACGCCCAGGACACGGCGCCCCCTGATCTGGCGGCCAAGTGGCAGACGTTGCTGTACGGCGCGCCGCCGGCCGAGGGGGATGCGACGGCGGCGGTGACGATCAAGAATGCGAGGACCAACATCATGCCGAGCCACGTACGTTGCCTCCTTTAGTCCCTTTTGGGCTGCCCAAATCACAGCATACAGCCGACTAACGGCCCAGGCCATAACCGAGCCGGAGACGATACGCGCCTTTACGAGATTCCTGCCCTGGACGCGGGACGCCAAGACGACGCAGAGCGTCGTCGTGCAGACGCTCATCTGGTCGCTGACGCGCGGCACGCTGCTCGCGCGCACGGGCACGACGCTGTCGCTGTACGAGCCCATGCCGAGCTGGCTCATCGGCGAGCTCGACCGGCTGAGCGCCGTCGAGAACACGGGCGCCGAGACGCGCCTGCGCAAGGCCAACGCCGTGCTGCGGGGCATCGGCCGTGACCTGCGCCTGCTCGAGGAGCAGACGTGGAACCGCCCCGACGCCGTTGAGGATATGGGCGCGGCCAAGGGGGCGTGAGGAAGCGCGAGGCAGCAAGAAGCGGTCGACAGAAACATGGCCCATGCAAGCCCCTCACCGACCTACCAACTTACATTACAGCCATGTGATAGAGCTAGGTCTCCGGTGTTCTGAGGGGTAGAGGATACCCAAGCAGCGTCATAACCAGCCAAGGAATAGGGGGAAGACTTTTGGCTGGACCCTTCTTTTTGTCACCCGCTTGAGGGCAGGATGGGAACACATCGACGGGTGATGGGCTGCTGGCTGGACTCGTCACGACCACTGTACTCACATGACACACCGGACGACCAAGCGCCATAGACGCGCCATAATGTCAGTCATTTGCAGAATGCATGCCATGTGTTTCTATCCGTGTAAAAGACAAGACTGTCGAAGCGCTAACGTTTCATTGAGCAAGACGTGACTACCTGCATGCAGTAGGTCGAGAGAGGGGTCTTGCTGAGTCGCCCATACAGTACCACAGTACCACAGCACCACACACAACAGATGGGCGGGCCAATCATGCAGAGGCAGACAGACGGCCGAGAACACAAGGGCGAGTGAGACCTGTCAACGGCGCGCGGGGTGACGGGCGAACGAGAGGTGCATGAGTGCGTTTGCCGTGCGCTGCAGCAGCGCCGTGAAGCTTGTCATGGGTGCCGTGCCGCTACGCTGCTAGATCAGCCCGTTGGATGCTTCGTACCCTCTGCTGGTGCGTGCGTCCTCCCACTGTGCCTCCCACCAAGAAAACCCGTCTGATGATGATGACGAGAATGGCCTCGACCCGAGCAAGCCGGGTGTAGGTTTTCCAGTGGCGTTCATCCCGTCAGCAGGCGAAGCGCAGCCTCGGCTGCCACGGATCAACCCAAGCCCTACGAGCTCGTCCTGGCTCGTTCTCGTGATGCAAGTCTGCGGCGGTGGCCCGGCAGTCATCCGGAGAGGGGTGGCACGGGAGGTTGGTGGTGGTGGTGGTGGGATGGAGATGGCAGCCCGCGACCCCATCTCAGCGGCGGTGTGGACAAATGCCGACAGGGCGATCTCCTGACTATTCCGCTTCACGATTAGCACGATTCGCGGGAGGTGGGGGTGCACAGCATATTTCGTCCTGGCGAACAAAATCCTAGAGGAAAAAGACAGAGACAAAAAAGGTACAATGCCTGGTCCTCTTGGCTTGGCTTGCGACCAGCCCTGTCACGGCTTGCCCCAGTGCCCCTCCTGCGTGCCGGCCTCTGGTTCGACGCTGGCGAGGAGTCCTTTTGCCATGGTACGACTGGGATTTTGCAACCCTCCGGTCTGGGTCGTATATGTACGCTTCGTAGCGCTAAGACCGGAGTAATCGCAGCGCTAAAAGAAGAGAGTGGAGAGAGCGAGTCGAACTTTTGCAGAACTTTTTTTCCCCCCTTCCTTTGGGCGCGTGGCTGGAATGTTCGTGTGACGAAATGATTTGATAACGAAAAAAAAGGTGGTTGTTGAACTGCCGAACGAGCCGGATCGTGAGCATTTGCTTGCGGCGACACCACTGGACCCTTTTCATCTGTTGTCTCCCTGCAGCGTACTCGAATTAGTCGAACCACCTGGCTGAGGCACGGCTTGATCCCCCCTTGTGCTCGAGGTCAAGCTCGAGTACCGAGGTCAGGGCTTGTTCGGATCGCCAAGACGGTGAAATCCAATCCTGTGTGGAGGACAAGGAAACGACCCCTGGCACACTGGAGTGTACCGCAACGAGAGCATCAAGGGCTAGGCTCGACGAAGACGAAGCCAGGCCGACGAAGACGAAGCCAGGCCAGGCAAGGACAGCACGAGCGCAGACCAGCGACCAACGAGGAATCCAGCTGCAGACAGTGTGGCCAGCCAGCAGATCTCACGTTGGAGCCTCCACAGCGGCGTGCACAGGAGAGAGAGACCAGGAGAGAGACCAGGGCCGGAAAAGGCACGCGATGGACCGGACGAGGCAGCAGCTGGCGGCACTCGCCGCTCGCCCGCAGCAAGTGATCGACGTTGGAAATTAAAATTCTCGTCACGCTGAATGGCTGCTAAAGGTTGACTCCGCTTGCGATGTACTGGCAGTGCGCCCCGCGTCATGAGCTTGCGCTCTGCTGGCGGCCACTGTGCGGGAAGCTGTTGTTGTGTCTGGCTGCGATTCGTTCATTTCTGCTGCTTCCTGCTTGCCACCACCACCATGTGCATTGCTGGTCCTGAGGATGGATTGAGGAGGGGAAGGACATGATCTGATGAGGAGGAGGATGTCGAGGTAGGGGACAGCACTATTGCAGGCGCCCCAGGAGGTCCACCTAGGTCTTGGAAGTTTGCTTTGTTTTTGTCGATCAACGTCATGAGGGGACGTGACTGGTGGAGGATGGCGCCTTGACTTGCCCTGAACCCGTTGTCGCACGTGAAGGAAAAGAATCGAGAATCCGGGGATCAAGGGAGCAATGGATCAAGGGGACCAAGGAACCAAGGAACACAGGAACCCAAGCACGCAAGGAGATTGCGCTGAGTGCGGGACGAAAGCCGATACACAGACCACGCCTGGTGGGAGGTCCTCGCCTGGTGGTCGTGTGAGGGGGAGCACGGAGGCGTACTCGGACCTGGTGCATCGTGATCTGTCGCATCACCCCGGATGTCGCCCACTGAACCTGCAGTCAAGCGAGAGATAAGGTGCTTGGGAGGCCATTCGTGTCATGGTTTGGGGGTTTGCTGCAGTGTGTCGCTGGAAGTCATGTCATGTATCTTTTTGCCTTGTCTCGCAGACAGCCTCGACAGCCTCGACGGAGCTAGCCTGGAATGAGTCAGTGAGACAATGGCTGTTCCCATGTCGCTCCCAGATTTGGGGGACGGCAAAATACAGGTTTTGGGTGCCAGGGTAGGTATCGTGGGTATCGAAGACGAGAAGGCGAGAAGGCGAGAATGCGATGCGGTAGCTGGCATGAAGGTGAGGAGCTTGGGTCGATGCATCGCATGGCAGGCAGCAAGCACTACGCTGCATCATGGGTGAGGCAGGTAGCATCACGGGCGAGGCAGGTAGCATCACGGGTGAGGCAGGCAAGGGCACATGCACAAACAGGTAGCAGCAGTAGCAGGGCAGAGCGATAGACGCCGTAGGGAGACGCCGTAGGGCAGAGGCAGAAGAGACTTGAGAGCACAAGCGCGTGGGCGAGATTGGCCCCGAAGAGTGGCCGACGCGAAGGTACCCCAAAGTCTCGCACTAGATCTGAATATTTTCGGTCGGCGGATATGGATCGCACGATCTCTGCAACTCCCGAGCCTACAGGTACCTATGAGGTACCTGCAGAGGCATGTACAGAGGCAGGAACAGAGGCAAGTACAGAGGCAAGTACAGAGGCAAGCACAGAGGCAAGCACAGAGGCAAGCACAGAGGCAAGCACAGAGGCAAGTGCATGTGTGCATAGTGCGGCAGCAACTGTGTGGGTGGGTCTGTCAGATGTCAGCCCACACTGTTTGCGGTCACTGTGTCTGTCGCGGCATGGCAGGCGATCAGAGGCGACGCAGCAGATGGGCGCCTCTGAAGAGCCCCACTGAGCAGCAGCACGGGGCGCCTCGTTAGCGCATGGTCCACAGTGCGGAGATGCGAGTGTGCGTGCAGATACTGAGGGAGAGAAACGAGCAAGGTGCCTGACCCCCTGCGGTACATGGCAGTCCCCCTACCTCATGTGGTAGTAGTGGTACCTACCTGTAGTGGTAGAGTGGTAGCAGTAGGTACCTACCGTGGCCCCCAAAGCCGCCGCAAGGGCAAAGTTCCGCTTCCCGACCGAAAAGGGCACCCAACTCGTTCTCCTGCAAACTCCCGTTCCAACAATAACTCAACCCCAAACAACTCCTGCCAGGGCATCGCCATCTCGACCTTGAACCTTCGGCGACGCCACGCCCACGGCACCACCCCCCCACGAAAAAAAAACCTTTGTCCATCCTGCCGCCCGTGAGCCTTCGATGCTCCTTTTCTGCAGGTTGCCACGAATTTAATTTCAACAACGTCGCCGCCTCCCACCGGAGCATCTCCATCTTCGGCTTGGCACCCCTCACGATCACGAAGGTTGTCAACCTCCTTCTTCCGACCTCCTCCCCCCCGCCCAAAGAACCATCCACCACAAGGCATCCAGGCTCGTCCTGCTGCTGCCGTCCCTGGCCCCGGCCTGTCTCAGGTTGCCGGGTCGGCGGACAGCGATAGAGCGCGCTGCATGCCTCGAGCTTCGAACGCGAAGCGACAGTCAGGCGCTGCTGCCAATGCCAATGCTCGCGACACTCGTCACGAGAATGGTCTTGTAGGCCCCGCCAAGCGAGTCTCCAACAAGAAGAGCCAGTCCCAGCTGGACGCCTCGCCTGCCCACCACCACTCGACCTCGTCCGCACCCTCCGACGGCGATGCCTCTGCGTCGCCTCTGCCGTCGCCTCTGCCCACCTTTGCTATCCATGGAAACGGAGACACCAACGGCAAGATCCATCCCGCCGCCGCCATGGCCGCCGACGCCGTCCCTAGGAGGGGCTCGCTAGGCGCCTACTCGGAATCTTCCTCGGGCGACTCGAGCGCCTCGAACCCGGCCGGGAACGGCTGTGTCGAGACGCAGCACCGCCAGATCGATGTCAATGCCACCAAAAATGTCGACGTCCACCGCGATCCCGGCGGTCCCCTCGAGTTTGCCGCCACCGTCCTTCGCGCGCTCCCTCTCTACGACACGCTCGCCATCCTCATCCTGCTCATGCACGTCCCGCCCGTCGCCCTCTCGGGCATCTACATGGCCTTTACCTTTTTGACCTTTGTGCCCCCCGTGACCACGAGCTCCGGCATGAACATCAACCTCGCCGAGATCTTCGACTACAACTCGACCATGCCCTCTCTCGTCACCATCGGCTGCATGGACATCCTCATCATGCTCGTGTGGCTGTTCCTGTGGCCGCCGATCCAGGTTGCCATTCTCGACTTGGCCAAGCCCGTCATTGCTGTGACCCTTGGCGGTGGCTCGTCCTCGCGCGAAGGCACGTCGAGCAGCGTCACGACGTGCTTCCTCCTCGTCATCGCCTCGCACGTGCTTCGCGGTTCGAGGCTGCACTGGTCCCGCGCCACTCGACTCTTGCCCCCAAATTGGCGGCTCGCCTCCGACAATGACGACCCCCTTGAGGCGATCTCGCAAGGGTTCGATAAGAGAGGACCCCACGGCTGGATCAAGAGCATATTGGCCATTCACATTCTGACCCAGGGCATTGTGCGATATATCAGGGAGTGGTACCTGCGACGCGAAAAGAGCAGCGGATCCTCCCACAGCCTGTCCGATCCCGAAGCGGGCAAGCCCGCCGACATTTCTGGAGATGCCGGTCTGCCAACAACCACCGACAGCGAAGCCGCAGCGCTGCAGCACGCCACGACGTCGTCCAAGAAGAGGAGAAAGCAGAGCACCCAGGTGCGCCTCCAGCAGCCCTTGTGGGCCGCGTTGGCGAGCACCAAGATTGTCATGGTCAAGGAGTACGAATTATCGCACGCCGCTTCCGAAACAGCGGGGTCCAATGCTACCGACATCCACAATTTGGGCAACGCCCCGTTCGACTCGGAAGCCGAACAGATCTGGATCTCCTACATTGGATACGACGAAATTTGCTTCAACACCAGTCATTTTGCCGACATTGCCCCACCCACCCAGAACGGACACGCCTCACGACCCGCCGGCGTCGACACGTCCAAGCCATTCTATGTCCGCGTCAACAATGCCTACTGGCAGCCGACGCGCATCTTCCGCGTCCAGGACGAGGACGGCGAGCGCGCGTCGGGTCATCGATGGTGCGGCGACGTCTACGGCTTGCGACCGCTTAGCAAGTATGTCTGCGAATTCGTCGACACGCACACCGACCGCGTCATCTTCTCGACGAGCATCCGCACGACCCAGGCGCCGACCAAGGACCAGGAGGGCGTCCCCGCGAGCCCCGCCATCAACGGACAGCAATCCCTTCGCCCCGACTCCCCCGCTACGACGCTCAAGAGTACGATCAGCGCGCAGAACGAGCGGCTGTCGGATGAAAGGTCCAAGCTCAAGACGCTGCGCAAGGACTGGAAGAGCAAGGTCAGCGCGCTGAAGAAGGAAAACGAGAAGCTCGACAACTCGATCCAGTCCGGCGGCGGCAACGACGACAAGCTGCGCCAAAAGATCATCCAGCAGGAGACGCAAAAGGCCCAGGCCGAAAAGGAGATTGCCGAGCTCGACGAGCTGCTCAAGGAGTTTGAAAAGGCGCCCGAAGGTCTGCAAGAACGCAAGAAGCAAGCCGAGAAGAGCTGGTCTGCCGAGAAGACCGTCTTTGACAAGGCGTCCAAGGAGCACAAGGAGTTCAAGGCCAAGCTCGCGGCACAGATCAAGGCGGCGCAGGACGAGCAGGCGGCCCTCCAGACAAAGCGCAACAAGATGGCGGCCCGCATTGCCAAGGTGGACACGGAGCTCATGCGCATCACGGATGCCAACAACCGCGGCCTCGACGAAGCCGAGCGCCGGCGCCAAGGACGCGCGGCGTGGGAGGCTGAGACGAAGCAGATCGAGACCAACTTTCGGGAGAGCATTGCGACGATGCAGGCCAACAATGCGACCAAGCAGGCTCAGGTCAACAACCTCATGAGCCAGCTCCAGACGTTCCACCAACAGATGAACTACAGCAACAACAGCCTCTCGTTTGACGGTCAGCACCAGCACCAGCACCAGCACCAGCAGCACCAGCAGCATCAGCAGCAGCAGGGCTTCGAGGCGGCGGCCTCGACCAATGCGACGAGCTCGGGCAACTCGTGGAACCCGAACCCGGCGGCCGCCCCTCACTACCCGGCCTCGATGTGGCCAGCAGCAGCGACGACTACAACCTCCAACTCGACGAGCGGACCGGGGGCGGCGCAGCCCTCGCTGCTACCGGCGCCGCTCATGGGCGCGGGTCACTGGCTTCCCTCGCAGGCACCTGTCAAGTCCCGTGGCCGCTCTAGTAGTATGCTCAGCGACGTTTCGGGCTTCACGCAGTCGAGTGCCGGCGACGACGAGTACCAGTCGTTCCACAACACGCCGGCGCAGGCGGGCGCGGCCGGCGGCTCACGACCGCCGCCGGGGCTCAGCTGGCCGTCGCGAGGCGCCCACTCGGGCTCGGGCAGCAGCGTGCGTAGTGGCACCGGTAGCGGCAGTCGCAGCGGCGGCAGCGTGCGCGACCCGACGAGTCCTGTGTGAGGCCGCGGTCCTGTGAGGTTGTGGTCCTGGGAAGCTGTGTTTGGTTGTAGTTGTTTCTTCTGATGCGTGCTGGGGTCTGTGGGCTTCCTTCTCGTCCGCCTGGGTCTGTTCTCCGTGTTCGAGGCCGAGTCGCGTGGGTGAAGTGTCTGTAGCTTCGGTGAATTGAAAAGTAGTTGTCTTCGTAAAGGGTGTTCTTCTTTGGTGCCATGATGTGATGTTTCCGCCTCCCGACTTGAGCGCTTCCCGACAGGCTGTTTGCGAACACCCAAAGCGCTGTCGTCAACAGACCGATAAGCCTGTTCGGACATCAGCCAGAACGGCTCTTTGCCCAACTCCAGCGTCGTTCGCCCGTCATTGGTGCCCTGGCTTGTCGTATCGCCGCCCGTGGCTTTCGCAGGTCGCCGAGTCCGGGGCCATGCCGACCCTCCCTCGGCTGAGCTGCAGGCGGGCCGCCGGGCTTGTGAGTTCTGAGTGCGTGAGGGCCTATTGTTTTCCCCTGCTTTTCTCTCGAGTCCCTCTCTCTCTCTCTGGGGTGCCTCGGCGGCTAGCTATCTTCGCCACTGGTTGGGGTCGTGCCATTCATGCAGCTTGCCCCAGCCCTCCCCTCCCACGAACGTCGTGCGCTGCTTCACGCAGTTTGACCATCAAGGGGATTTCGTCTGCGTCGTGTTCGGTGAGGCCTGTACGCGAGGCGGGTACTCACTTTGTTTCTTCGTACGCCCATTCTACAACTTGAGGCTCCCGCCGTGCTGCTGCTTGCTGCCTCTTCCTTGCCCTGCTGGATTCGCCTTGGGGCTGAGACTGCAGCGGCGAATCGGAGGGCGAAGCTGGGGTTGTGCAGGGATCGCAGGGGAGTCGGGGGCTTGGAGCGACCCTTGCTTGGTGGGCATGTGATGAGGGGTGGCCGTTATCTGGATCCTGTCCTCTGGGATGGAGGGTCATAAAGTGCTGTGTAGCGCCGTGCATGCCTGGTTTTGATTTTCTTGGTCCCTGGATTTATGAATCTGCTGCTCCTTTACGCTCTGTGTTGAGGATGACGATGTTCATGGCGATGATTTGGCTGTCGAACTGACGGAGCCAATACGAGGACTTACCTTGGCGAACAAATAGGACTGCCGATGATCAGGTAAATGGTGGTTTACGTTCGACATGGGCTGGTTTGATCGCAAGAAGGTGGTCAAGGCGAATAAGACTGCCGAGCCGCAACTCCAACATCAGTCACAGCTACAACCACAGACACAACATCACCAAGTTCCCGCTCTCCCAGCGCCTCCATCCTACCACAACGCCGTCACGAACCAGCCGTCGCAGCAGTGGGCGCCGCCGTTCGGCTTTCAGCCTGGCTTCGGCCCTGCGCCTGTCGTCGTGAATCAGGTCCAGAACTTCTATGGCCTCGCCGACAACAACAACAACAACAGCGAAGCTCGCCCGCCGACGGCTCAGACGCAGCTCGTGGCCCGGCCCAAGCACCGGCATGGTCAGCCACTTGATAAACCACAGTCGAAACCTGCGCCCAAATCATCCTGCGCCGCCCTGACGGTCCCCGACATGGCCGAGATCGAGGCCGGCTTCCACCCTCACGCCCAGGAGCTCATCCATCAGACCTCGCTTGCTGTGGACCTTTTGACCAACACGTTCGCCGCGGTCCTCGCCACAATCGACGAGCCTACGGCGCCAGAAAAGGAAAGCTCGCACAGCAAACCAGGCGCCAGAAAGACGCGGCCGTCCAAATCATCCACCAAACCGCCCGAGAAACCGCCCTGCTCCTCGCCCCTGGCCAAGATGTACGCCTACGCCAACTCGCGCCTCCCCTCGGACCTCAAGCCGCTGCGCCTCTACATCCCAACCTGGCCCCTCCTCTGCCTGGCCGCGCACTACGCCGAGCGCGTCTACAGCTCGCGCCCAGACAGCCCGCACATCACGGTGGCCCCGGACCTTCGCACCGGCGCCAAAGCCATGCTCCTCGCGACCGCCACCGCCGACGACGCCGCGGCCCTCGTGCTCGCCGTCCAGCGGCTCCGCCAGCCTCGCCGACTGGGCCGTCAACCTGCG